GAGGGGCCAGGATGCGTCCCCAGGGCTGGCGGGCCAGCACTGCCTCTCCACCCAGCCTTTCTCAGTGATGCTATTTAACCTGTACTATTGGAAAAGTCCCGGATGGTTTATTTTAATATACAGTAAGGACGGTTGATGGCTGCGGGGCCGTGGTCTCAGCTGCCGGACTGCCCCATTGGCAGCGCTGCCCCCCGGCTCCTCTGTGCACCCGGTGCTCGACCTGTCGCCTGCCCAACCTGGCTCTGCGGCGCGAAGGAAAAATAAAGCCTGTCCCAGCTTTTCTCCTATTTATGCTCCTCTCCTGCTGCCCCTACCAGCCATTTCTCCACCACTGCCATCCCTCCCCCATCCCTGCCCCATGTCTCAGGGCCCCTCGTGCACAGGGCAGGGGAGAGGTGAGGTGAACCCCCGTGGGTTGTGGTTTCGCGGCAGTTGGGGTGTCCCCAGGCACCAGCATGGAGGCAGAGGATTTCTGCAGGAGCCAAGCAGAATGCCGGGGCTGGGGCTGGAGATGTCAGCCCTATGCAGCTGTACCAGGACCCCAAGGTGCACGTGCCGGGGTCCCCACTCCTGGCTGCCCACAGTGTTGCTGCCTGCTCTGCGTCCCGCCGCTGCCCTGGCCAAGCAAGGGCAGGCAAGGACAGGCAGTGCTGAGCCCTCAGCTGAGATTTGTTTTCTCAGCGCTTGCCGGGGCTGGAGGCACCAGCCGTGGCTTTGTAGCCTGTGGCAGCCGCAGTGCCCAGAGCCCACAGGTGTCTGCAGTCAGCACATCTCTGGGATGTCAAAGCTTTGCTGCAGAAGCTCTAAGAGATTCAGTACCAGGAGCAGGGGACTGTTCTCGGGACACTTTGGGCCCGTGGCCCTTCTGCTGCACCCTCGGTGCCAGCACAACATCCCTGCGGCTGGAAAGCTTTGCAGGTCACGGTGCCCAGGCGGCATCGGCACCGCGACCCGAGCTGGTTTCCGAAGCATGAGGACAGGGTGGCCCCAGGATGGTGTCCCCGGGCAGTGTGGGTCCTGCCTCACTCCAGCCATCAGCCACGTCCAGGCAGTGCCTGGAGAGCAGCCAAGGGGCAGGATGGGGCCAGGGACAGCCCCTGTCCCCCTCCTGCCTGCAGGTGATGCTGGCAGAGCAGCCGGGCAGCCCCTGGTCCAGGCTGCAGAAAGCCCAGAGCTGCTCCCACACCAGCACGTGCCCAGGGGCTTGGGGGAGCTAGGGGGCTTTGCAGCCCCCTCCTGCATTTATCTGCCCAAGTGCATGGGTAAGGATTAATAAGAATTGTCCTGTGCTTCGTGCTGGGCCGAGCTGAGCCCCCAGACCCCGCATCGTGCTCTGTCGTGTCCCCAGGTGACATCAAATGCTGTGCCAAAGCCACAAGCAAAGAGCTGTCGGTTCCTCTCCCGTCGCGGGACAGGGGCTCACAGGCACAACTGGGCAGCACTGGGGGGGGCTGCAGCCCCCACAAGCTGGGACATGCTGGACTCTCGCTGCTGCTTTCTCTTGGTCTCCGCCATGCTCTCCTCTTC